AAGTTGTAGTTCTTTTATCTTTTTTATGGTTTTCTCCTATATGAATGGACAAGCTTAATTCTCTAAAAATAACTTGAATTCATAATGTCAACAAACATCCTTATGAAGAGAAAAAACTGAAAGTTCAGACACTTGCAGATTGAAACTTGTTACCTCATCCATATCTAACCATCTTCATTACTGGCAATAAAAAAACACCAAATGTTTCACAAAAACAAGCAAAAACCATCAACTTAGAAAGGAAAATAAAAATTACATTGCACGAGTTCCATTTTCATGAAGACATCCTTCTTTAGCCTTGTTTATCAGATCTTCCCAAATCTTAGACACAACGGTGGCGCAATTTTTTCAAGAAAATTCATTCAACAATAACTTTTTAATTTCAGAAGGAAAAAAAAAAGGTTTTTTTAAATGAAAGTAAGTAGTCTATGTTTTATTAAAAAAATTAAAACACATAAATATGCACATTAAACAAAACATGCTCATGTTTACAACCTAGATATATATACCCAACAATTAAAGTAGTTTGTTAACTTCAATGATAATTACACATATATATTCAAATAAAAGTGAGCTCTATTGAAAAGATGTATAGTGCTGTTACTTTTTAAATTTTATTTTAAATTAAATCTGAATATACAAAATTCAGATTGAAGAAAAAGACAAGGTATAAATCCCAAATTAAACCCGATTTAATGGAGCATGAATTTTATACCTCTTTAATGATTTTCAACAGCGGCAATGGAATCTTGTGGTAGCGACGGGCGGTGTGAGCTGGTGGTGGTAGCGACGCCGTGAGCTGGTGCTGGCATCGAAGTCAAAAGATGGTTGAGGCAACGTCTCTCCGTCACGGTGCTGGCAGCCTATCGCGGTCGCGGTGGTGATGCCCATCTCCCCGTCGTCGAAGGATGAAAACGAAGGAGAAATCTGAAATTGTCGGCCGCTCCAGGAAGAAAGAGCGAGTGTGGAGGAGAAGAGGAATAAAAGGGTTAGGGCACGCTGTTTAATTAATAAATTGGGGGTTCTGATTATAAATAAATAAAAATTAATAACTTGCGTCGTTTTATATTGAATGTCGCAACGTTTGTCGTTTTATGCAACAGCAATTGCGACGGTATTTCCCAAATCGTCGCAACAATTTTTTGTTCTGCAAATAATTTAAAATCATTGCGACGATAATAACTATAAGTCGCAAATATATTAAATAAAAAAATAATTGCGACGTTTTTAACACAAACGTCGCCATAGTTTGCGACGATTTATTGTTTTCGTCGCAATTGTCCAAAAAAATCTTTAACCTGCTCTAGTGCGACGTTATTTGCGACGTATTTTATAATAGTTGCAATTGTATTTGTGGATTCTCATTTTTTTCCAATTTTGCGACGTTTTTTTTGTAAAACGTCGCAAAATTGCGACATATACAATTTCGTCGCAAAAAAAAACGTCGCCTGAAATGCATTTTGGCCTAGTGGCTCCGGGATCAGAAATCCATTGTTCCGGGTGCAAATCTCCAGGCTCGGGCAATATTTACGCGTGCTGGAGGTGCAATTACTTTTTGCACGAGCAATGTTTTAGAGCCTCACGGTCGTTCAATCACCCCTCTCACCCCCAACATCCTTTGACTTTGGTGTCGTATCCGACTCATACATCGGCCGCATTTTTCTGCAATTCTTGCAACCACGGTGGGAGCGGATTCTGCTATTGTTGCTCGGAGTGCGATTTCGATGTGCACGTTCATTGTGCTCACATGACATGTGCGCCAAACGCGGCACGTGCCACCAGTGTTCCTCTCGACCCTAATTTGTCCAACCCTAACCCTAACCCTAACCCTAACCCTAATCATGCACATAATTTTCAGGCTCAACATCAAATATATCCTCCTCCCATGGCACATAACCCTTTCCCAAATTATGTGCCCTACTAATGAAATAGCTATTTTTTTTCCGTTTAATTCGAGCTTCGTTTGTGATATTTTCACTTTGATGTGTGTGTGTTTTTCATTCTTGGAAGAACTTTTTCAATTATTGGTACTTCAATTGGCTGTAAATCAGTCGTTTTAATGAAGTTATTTCACATCAAGATATTTGTATGATTGTATCATTACCATATATTTAGCTTCAAAATGTTCGCCATATCAAACATAATAATCCAGCGCATCTCTCTCTCTCTCTCTCTCTCTCTCTCTCTCTCTCTAAAAAGTCTAAGTCAACGTTTGACTTTGATATTGTACAACCTTACAACAAATTACAGCACAGCACATGACTCGTCTTACATTGACTATCACAATTAGTGCAAAAATTAAATTGTTAACATTTATTGCGTGCATGATTTAGTGTTTTTTCTTAAAAACTAAAAAGTCTAGTACAATCTTGATTCTTGATCTTAGCTCGAATCAAATTATAATAAAAATAAAAAAAAAAAAAAAAAAAAAAACCCAGTACTCTTTTTTAATGAGATATAAATATAATTTAATGATATTAAACGAATATTTAATTAAAATCCAGTTATATATTGACTGTTTGTGAGAGTCAATAGACTTCTAAGCCACATGAAAAATCGTGTGTTGCCCAGCGAAAAATACAAGTATTTAATACGAATTTGTTTTTGATAAGTTACAATATAAAATTTAGGGTAAATTACGGTCAAATTGCGAAAAAAAATCCATCATGTTTGGATAATTATAATCACCCATCAATTATGAATCTTCTTACACATTCACCATTATGATGTCAAATTAAATAAAATCTTCTAGATTCCGTGAAATGTTCTATAGTTTGTACTCGTTTTATGCAAAATACAGTTTCTGATGCACCACAATCTGTTATTTACAAGCTAAGAGACACGTCTTATGATCATCTCGTTTTAAAATGTGGAGCTCGAATGGGGTAAAACGGGTAAATATTGAAGAATATTACACGTAAACCTGAAGATTCGACTAAATTTGACACCAAAATGGTGGACTTGTAAGAAAATTCATAGTTGGGGGTGATTGTAATTACCTTAATATGAAGGGGGTTTGACCATAATTTATCCTAAATTAATGAAAGACGATGAAATTAAAAACAATATATATATATATATATATATATATATATATATATATATATATATATATATATATATATATATATATATATATAATAAAATAGGTAGGAAAATCTACCAAGACCGCGTTTGGTACCCATCGGAAAAAAAGAATGGCAGACGGAGGAAAATCACCACCGCCGTCGGCAGCCGCCGATGCGCAGCTTTTTGGGCTCCTCTCCAATCTCCTCCAACAGGTCCGCCACTCTAATATGTTTACCACTGTGTTGTGTTTACATATACATGGTTCTCTATTCATATATTCATATATTTTTTCGCTTTTAATTTCCAAAATTGACTGATGATTATGGATCATAGGTTCGATAATAACATATGGAATTTTCTCTGTAATTGATTGTACGCTTGATTCGATTTTGAGATTTTCGATCTGTTTAAATCGGAATAGTTTGTGCAATGTAATTTGGGATGATGAGCTGGTGAAATTTGAATATTACGATTACACTTTTTTGTTGTGTGTGTGTGTGTGTGTGTGTGTGTGTGTGTGTGTGTGTGTGTGTGTGTGTGTGTGTGTGTGTGTGTTTTAGAATTTTTGAATTTTGAATTTTGGTGGTAATGTAGATAGTATTGCAATTTACTTCGGCCTCGTTTGCTTACCTACCTATATCGGATTAGATTGGATTAGATTAGATTGGATTAATAATTGGATTGATTCCTTTCAGGTTAATTAATTGGATTCGTCGAGGAATTTTGTGATGATTCTTTCAATTTTTCTTGGATTTCTTAGCATAAGGATTTGATCCGTTACATTTGAGTCTTGAAGTTGAGATAACGCTTGTAATTTTTGAAGCATCGAGTAAATAATAATAGTTTTATCTTCTGAAAATCGGAGAAAAACAATGAAAAAGTTAGTTTGAATCAGCAGTTGAATACCAACTGATGTTTAAAGCCGTACAGAACTGGTGAAAACGGTAAACAACGCGTTTTGATGACCATATTTAAGTCATGTTTGGGTGATTTGTGAGCAGGGTTGTCGATATAACATTGTCATCATTCGTTTCTAATCAGCAGCAGAATTTAGAGCTTTAAGATCACTCCGAAAAAAGTCGTTCCCCATCTTTTATATGTATATTATTTTACAGGTGGAATCACTAACCAATCAAGAAGAAGTGGAGTTGCGTGCCAAGATTGAAACCCTCGGAATGGAGGTCCGGAAACTTCCCTCCAAATCCGCTCAGCATATGAACGAGGTAATATTTCAAGAAGTTCAATCACATCCCATATACTCGTATTTAAAACAAATAAAAAAATTATTTCTTTAACTAAACAATATTGTTTTCTACAATTAGATGGAGATAGCAAAAGAATTGGACAAATTATCAGCAAAACTCGATGACGTGGACGAGTTAATATCCTCAACGATGGCAGAGGACCCACAAGTGAGGACCCTTTTAAGCAATACGGCCGATGTGTGGATTCCAGTTGTCACTGCAACTTCCGACGAGAGGCGTAATTTTACCTCTGTGGTTGGAGATGAAAGTCTTGCAGGCTCGGGAAAAGGTCCCGAATAGCAATATTTATAACTTTTTATTGAATTATTTGTTGCATATGCACATACTACATGTCTTTGAAATCGAATTCTTGAAGTCATTTGTCAAGTTGATGGAATCCATATTAGATTCCGAATTCAGATCTAATTTTAATCTCCGAAAATATGTTCAAAAATTACGAGTCTTTCGGACTTGTGTATTTTACTATTTTATATCATAGATGACCAAAAAAATGGATATTGCGAATTCCACCGAATTTGATGCATATACCGAGATTTTGGCTTTCAATTTTTACAAAAGGTTTTCGGAAAAGTACGGGAAATAGTTTCTGACTTCCGAAAAAATTGATTTTTTTTTGCCGAAAGTGTTAATTACGATCCAATTCAACATAAATTCAATAATAACTCAATATCAAGATGCAAGATTTATAGTGTGTCAATCTCAAAATTATCACACTAAAATACCAAGCAGTATTTAAACTGCGGAAGTTTTTTATCACGTAACATCATCGATGCTGAATAACATAAAAAAAGGGATTCAAATTTTGTTTCCCCCGTTTTCGAATAGATAAAGAGTGAGCTAACGTACGCCTCATTTCAAGGGAGGTGGATTAACTATTAAACCGATAAGCCACATGGCTATAGATCCAACGAACCAACATATGATCAAGAAAACTACCAAACCAGCCAAAATGGTGAGTAAAGGAGGGCCCGGAGCAGCAGCAGCTTCATCACTACTTTTCGAGTCGTTCGATTCCTCAGAAGGGTTCGTGTTTGATGCAAATACCGGGGCCCACCTGTTCTTTACTTGCACTCTTCCTTCATTTTGAAACCTGAAAAAAAAAAGGTAGAAAAATAAAGCATTTGCTTCAATTTGCAAGTGGTTTTGTTAAATGTTCGATAGCATGTGTTAGAAAATTATCGTAATAGTTACTGTTGACAAATAGACCGTTATATTTGTCGTTCCATTAGTAATGCAAGAATTCACTAGGCTAATCAAGATTCAAGCCGATCAAATGAGACTCAAAGTGTCCGAGCCGGAACCAAATTTTACATTTTCAGAGCCGTTTTCGAACAATTTGAAGTCGACACTAGATCGATTTCCATATCCAACATCGACACAAATAAAATAGTCGGAAAATGTTCGTAGACTTTCTCACGAATATAAAAGATTCATTCGACATTCGTAGCCTTTCGTAACTTAAACAATTTGGTGAGAAGGCATACGAAAGATTCATTCGATATTCTTTTCTCGATTCGTAGCCTTTTCGGAACGAGCCGCAAACAAACAAGGTGCTTTTTTTTCCTTTAAAAAAATTTCTAACATGACAAGTGGATTTTCTTACAATTTTTGGAATGAGCACAAAGAACATTAATCGGTTATCAATAATCAGCGATCTTGATTTATCTATCTTTGGTGCTGCTAATTTCCACCTAATCTTCTTACAGAAATGATAGTGAAATAAATCAATTTACCTGAAATTAACTTTGGAGGGTCAAAATAGTGAAAGAAATCAATTTACCTGAAATTAAGATGGGCCCGGCAACAATGGCGGCCGGAGGTAAGAGAGATGAGGGAGGGGGCATGAACGGCGGCGGAGGGACGGCGGAGGGTTCCGATTGAGTGAAACGCGGGTGCACGAGTAGGCAGAGAGGCCATACTGTTTGCTGTTTTACACTAAGAGTGAAACTACAGATTCAGGGTGTGTATTCAATTCAACCATGAACCAACCCAACCCCACACACACTCGAGGTATTGAGTTTATGGGCATATTTGTAATTTCACAACCCTAATACTATTTTATTAAATTAAAATGATAAAAATTGTGTGGCTGTTTTTTGGGGTGTGACATTTAATAACATGAAAATTTCAAGGATGTTTGTAAATAATTAGGCTATGATATGTTTAGCTATTTAGATTTTTCATGCCCTTTTAGAATATTTAAATGGCGGCGGTTATATGCAAGCTCATTTTTTTATTAGATCAAAACCACATAAAGGAGTTTATTAGTTCAAGCACGTAAATTAATCTAATTTCATTACATCAAGACCAAAGATGACAAATATACCCTTATCCACAAACAATACTCAAATACAAATAAATTCTATTTTTAATTTGTTCAAGACCAAAAAAAAAAAAATATCATGACTGCCGCCGCCAGACCGCCGCGACGCTGACAGCGAGACTTCAATCGCACCGGCGATGACCAGTGATCCACCCACCGCACCATTACCACCGCCGCATCACCACCAACAAGTAAGTCATATTTACTAAACTTTTGTTTGTAAATTCGAAAACATTAATCGAGCATCGATGTCCTTTTTACTAAATTTTTGAGGGTAAATAGCACTAAACACCCCTGTGGTTTTCACGTTGTGCACTTCACCCCCCTCTGATATCAATTTAAGCATTTAACCCCTCTGTGGTTGTCAGATTGTAGCGGCCGTCTAATAATCCGTGAAAGTTAGCGGAGAGTGCATCTCACTCGCCCAAAATTGAAGTGGTTGAAGGTTTTGCAAGGTAAAATTCCTGATAATAACCATATTGCCCCTTTTCTTTCAATAAAAACCCCTACACCAATCTCTCATTTTTCTTTTAATTAAAAAAACAAAATAGATTTATTTAAATTATGTACTATATATATAATTTTTAAAAATTTTAAATTAATTATTGTTTAAATACATATATGAATTCTTTTACAGCTAATAATCATCATCTGGGATGAAAACAAATTTACAAGATGCTAAAAAATAAAATGTTATATATATATATATATATATATATATATATATATATATATATATATATATATATATATATATATATATAAAGAAATTAATTAAAAAAATTCGAAAGAAAATCCATAAAAAAATCAGTTACAAAATAAGGTTTAATAATGGTTGGTTGATTTATGCAGCCTAATCTTTTTTTTTATGAAAAAAAAAACAGAGAGAGAAAAACGGATGTAAGAAAATGGAAAATGTGGATGAAGAAGATGATTTAATCGACCCGCCGCCGACGAAAAAAACGCATGTTTCTTTCTGGAAAATTTCGGAGGCCATAATCTGGTTGGGGTTCCTGCTTCCCATTCACATACCCCCTCCTTCACCCAACTCAATGCCCCGATTCAAGATCCTGAAATCTAATATATTTTATGTGTCTACAATAATACAAAATATTTATATTTATGAAACCGTAAAATATCAAACCCCCCAACCAAATTCTTCACAAAATTGAGAACTTCAAAGAAGAATCGAAACCCTAGAAATCTGAGATGTTCGCCCGAGAAGACAAAAAAACTCGAACAATGGTTTTTTACATGAAATTTTTGGGATGTTTCCTGTGTTTTTTGGATTTAATTTTCTTGGAATTTGTTTTTAAGGGGTCTGGAACAGTTCTGGGGTTCTGAAGGCGAGGAGAAGAAACAATTTTGATAATTGTACTTTAGTCCTATGAATTGATTTTATTTCTAATTTAATCCAATTTTTATTTATTAATAAAATGAAATATAACCTGCAAATAGTAAGAAAATGATGGGGTAGTTCAGACATTTAACCTTTTCTGTTAACTTTAACGGTATATCAGACGGCCGCTACATCTTGTCAACCACAAGGGGGTAAAATGACCAAATTCATATCAGAGGGGGGTAAAGTGCACAACGTGGAAACCACAAGGGGGCTAAGTGCTATTTACCCAATTTTTATTTGTAAATTCGAAAACATTAATCGAACATCGATTCTTGATAAATATGTATGAATGAACATTAATCTATGCTTATTTCTTGTTGGATTGCAATGATTGGGCCGATTTTGGAAAAAAAATTGATATTGAAATTGTTTTTTTTTTTTCGTTAGTTTCCCAAATCGGTTTATCCTGACCGATTTTGTTCACGAAAATCGGCGTCATAATGCCGATTTTTGTTAACCAAATCGGCGACACAACGTCGACTTTACAAGTCAAAATCGGCGTTCTAATGTCGATTATTGAGTACAAAATCGGTTTTCGGATACCGATATTTTTTGAATTTTTTTTTAAATAATACATTATATATTTGGTTAATTGATATTTTTTAAATATTTGAAACGAAAATGTTTATCACCATTCGGTGGCGTCTACCACTCCTTTAACCCAATCGAGTAGAATTTTCCGTGTCTCAATAGTTATTCATTAGATAATTCATTTGAATAATCCTACATCACACCCCCTCCGGTTGATGCACGAAAGTATGAGAAAACGGTCTTAAAAAACACAGATAATAAAATCGGTACTTAAAAACCGATTTTTTGTAGTACAAGTCGGCATGACAATACCGATAATACAAAAACAATTCGGTGTTGTCATGCCGATTTTTACTACAAAAACTGGTTTTAAGTACCGATTTTATTA